AATGATGCGAAAATTAGAAACGGATCCACTTGTATCGTCACACACAATTCTTCTTCTTCTTCTTTTTCTTTTTCCTTTTGTTGTTGTTGTTGTTGTTGTTGTTGTTGTTGTTGTTGTTCTTCTTCTTCTTCTTCTTCTTCTTCTTCTTCTTCTTCTTCTTCTTCTTCTTCTTCTTCTTCTTCTTCTTCTTCTTCTTCTTCTTCTTCTTCTTCTTCTTCTTCTTCTTCTTCTTCTTCTTCTTCTTCTTCTTCTTCTTCTTTTCTTCTTCTTCATGTATTTCGTTTTTTATGCTCATCATTCTCCTTCTACATGTTAATACGTATAAGTAGTGTTGGATTTCATCCAGTCATGTTGAACCATTTGCAGACGTTCATAATTGGTTGAATTTGTCATTTAACGGTTTCTAAGGTATTAGAAAGCCAGTGTCAGACGAACCCTCTGAAAGTTAGTTTTAACATGTATTGTAATGTGTAGTGCTACTATACTTTGCATTTATTACGCGCCCTCGTTACACACAAGCGTCTACACAAGCACACTTACAATTTCTAATAACACGATGTTAGTTTTGTCTTACGTCGCTACTTTTTCATGATAGAAATGTATGGGTCTTGAATTACAAGTTTGAAGTAACTATGTTTATGAAAACCATACATCTACAAACACTGATCCAAGTTGCTACAATATCATTAGTCACGTTGAAATTCAGCAGTAAAGACTTAAAAGCACTCTCTGCTAGTGAAGCAAATGTAGGCTTTTTCGAATTCTTCATTTGACTAAGCAGCTTACATGCGACATTGTCACTATATAACAATACCTTCCTCTTGCATGACAAGTCCTGCGATTAGTAGAAGCGATATCATCAATACAATCCGAAATGCACATCGTTAAGACAATTACACCGATAAGCCACACAAGAACCTTTAACTAAGGGCAAGTGACAGGTAATTATTAGAAGAAGAAAAAAAAGGTGCCATTGACCATTTTATGCGTGTAGAGCTACTGGTAAGGATGTATGAGCTCCTTTAGATATCTCCGGTATGCCGTGATGATGGTTCTCTCTTATGCTTCCCCTAGAAGATTTATTTAGTCAGTCATGTCCGTCAGCATGAATCTTTGCTAGGAAAACATTAGGGCAGTTTCTTGGTGAGGAGATTAACGAAGAGTTGAATCAACAAGAAAGGGATCTGTTTTACAATAACAGAGAGGGTTAAAACGACACTTTGGTTCTTCTTCCTTTCCCGTCACACTATTACCCAGTTGTAGCCCAGGGTCGTGGCTTTATGAATTTGTCTTGTCTTTCGCCTGCAGCTTGACTGATAGATTTGTTAATCTTTTTTTTTTTTTCAGGATTCAGTTACAACGTCTATCTTTTTCTTGGTCTTGGTATTGCTATTCACCGAGATGTTCGGCTAGAGAAGATCGCATTTATCATTAAGTCTGACTTCATTTTTAATAGATGTCCAAACTACTTAATTGTCAGCCTTTCAAAGCGTTTTAGACATGTTCTTATTTCAAATTGTATCTCCAGTTTCCATATTTACGATCCTGTCTCTTAAACTATTGTTAGTGATCTTTCTGTAACAATGATTTTTGAAGGTATTTTCTGTTTCAGTGCTGTACCCAATTTCAGTGTTTGGCATTGACAAAATAAATTGGGGATGCAGAAGAATATGGTCATGTGGTGAAAATTAACACATGAAGAAACACAGAGCAGCAATTTAGTTTTGGTAGGTTTAACACAAGAACACGTTAACTAGAAACAGTAAAAGTAGTATGTACTTCATTGTGAGACCCTTCTTTGATCAGTATTATGTCAAAAGAATTATTGATACATACCGAAAAACATGTCATCGTTGAGAAAAACTGTATTTGTCTCTAAGTCACCTCAATAAATCATAGCTTTATAGGCGTTCGAAGCCCTGAAATATGTGGAGTTTAGACGGTTTTCTCCAACCAATAGAGCTAATGAGTATTTTCCCCCGTATAATTTAACAAATATGTTTTCTACTTTTTGTAAATGCTTGCGCGCTAATCTTAATCTTGTGTTGTACACTTTTATAATAACTTATATGCTTGAGGGTTTTCTTTATGTGTAGATATGATGCTTTGAGAATAGGTGGTAGGTAAGTGACTAGACACATGCAAGTCGACTTGAAGGTCTTGAAATCGAATTCGCATCCAGGCAAATTTCGATCTTAGACTTCGGCTAACAGATCAACCCAGCCTAAAATAAGCGCCAGGTAATGTCCTCGAAAGGGAAGGCGATGGACTTGATACTCACTACTTTACACATTCACCAACTAGTCCTTAAAACGTGGATCGAGGACCATACGTGTGTGGCACTAGTGCTAAAAAAAAAAGGTCCTTTACTCTTTTACTTTAAGAGCCGACGTGGTTTTGTGGCTAGACGCTCGCCTCTAGATCTGAACATCCTAGGTTCAACCCCCCCCCCCCCCCCCCCCCCCCCCCCCCCCCCCCCCCCCCCCCCCCCCCCCCCCCCCCCCCCCCCCCCCCCCCCCCCCCCCCCCCCCCCCCCCCCCCCCCCCCCCCACCACCCCCCCCCCCCCCCCCCCCCCCCCCCCCCCCCCCCCCCCCCCCCCCCCCCCCCCCCCCCCCCCCCCCCCCCCCCCCCCACCCCCCCCCCCCCCCCACCCCCCCCCCCCCCCCCCCCCCCCCCCCCCCCCCCCGTCGAACCCCCCCCCCCCCCCCCCCCAAATAGTCTTGGTTTTTAGGTCGAGCCAGCCATAAATAGGTAACATAAATTCCTGGGAAGTAAAAGGGTCGGCTTGATGTTCACCACATCACCCACTGAGTGCCAATCGGTCTATAGAATATAGGTCTAGCCGTATATTCCCAATAAGCCTGTAGGCGAGGAAGAGGCTCCTGTGTTTTCTTTACTATCAAGACAATGTTGCTGGTTGAATCCCCCTGCAGGGACAGGACACCCATTTCCCTTACAAGTGCAGTTCTGGATCGACCTCCACTGCACTGTCAGTAAAAAAAAAAAAAAACACACACATTATGATAATTGTCTGGAAGGGAAAGGCAGAGAGGACGTGCACTGGTCACATCACCTCGGTGTCATAGTCTAAATTAATCCGAACCCGTTTTTCTTCTTTAGTCCTACAGCTTATGGAAAGGAGTTAAATGTTTCCTATCATTTATTTTTACTAGTAGCCTGGCTCGTGTTAATAAAATCCTGCGATTCTGTAGTGTCTCTCTACTCCCCAACCATCTCTTTCTTGGTAGGCCTATATCGCACCCCAACGGCTGTTAACCGTTTTGAGACTGTCTTTAAAAAACATTTGGTACATTACGTTATAATAATTGACAACAATTCTCTTACTGTCATGTTCCATCATGTGTTCCGTTGAAAACTTATGATTCTGTTTTTTGTTTTCCCCCTCCCGAGTTGCAGTCGGTAGAATTATCATCACAGGTAGGAGAACCAAAAGGGACAAATTCCGATATCCGTTCATGGCCATCTTCTTCTTCGCGGGTACATAACTGTAAACTCCAGCTGAAAGTTCTAAGGGTTCTTCCACCTCCGAACTTAGCCGTGTTCCAAACCCGAGTATTGCGTGCACATACACTTTACATGTCTAGCTTATATCTATGCAGACTGCTGGTTCCTTGCCTCACAGGCAAATGCGCTTAGACATTGAAGGATGCTCCCATTTAGTCGACTCCTAAGATATGATCGTTGGAGAGGCAGTGGGTCTATTCTTGTTTTCTCCACAATAGGGCCCCTGGACCCACTCGGGTGGCAACCCCCTTCAATGTCTGGAAAATAATTGTTGATGACAATTTTAAAAAGATATCGTGAAAACCTCCATTTGGCTATAATGTTGCTATGAGATATTCCTGGCGGAGTTCTGATATTTTAACAAATGCCAGCCAGCTAAATGTGAACGCACTGACACTCACTGTATCTACCTGTTTTAATACTTTATGTCCCAAACAACGCACTTTGTGTGATTGGATATTATTCACGTGTACCGGTAATCCTATCAGTAGTAGGCATGCTTTTACATCTTATGTAAAGTAAAGAACTCTGAAGAATTTGAACAGACTTATTTCCTGCAAAAGTTTTATATTCTACCCTTCTGGAAGTAGTGTGCCCATATATTTAGTACTGCTTTTTAGAAAGTTTGCCACAATCTGCTCAAATTTATCGATTGAGTCTCATGTTATGTCTAAACTTATTGAACACCAAACAACTCGTCAAATGTTGGTTGGTTTCATCTGACATGGTATACTTTTCTGAACTCATTATGCCCCAATCAATCGTTACTTTCACCCACTCAGCCCCATTTCTAGCTTCAACAGCCATGTAGCATAAATTATTATTATTATTAATATTTAAATTGTCTAGACCATTTTAAGATTTATAATTTAAATTAACAATCTCATAGGATTGAATAAGTTTAATTAATACATGACTAGCACTGAAAGTGTTTAAAAAAAAACATCAATCAAAACTACACAAACGCGTTTAATTAGGACTCTTATCAACACTAGCTCCAGCGTAGTTGATAGCGCGTTGGACGCCAGGTGACAAAATCCCCCTGCGTGTCTGGTCTTGGGTTCGAGTCGGGAGGTGGCAGAACAGCCGCATACTCCACAGATTAACGGTGTACGTGTCACCGAGGCTGAAGGGCTTTGATGCTCATGACACTGAGACAAATCAGCTATGCTCAAGTTCTCCTAGTTTAAAAAAAAAAAAATCACCATACACACTTATGTTATAAATATATAAGACATAACTGTTTATGATAAAAGTGGAATATGAAATATCATAACAGGCTTTTACTTATTATATTACAATGGATGTGTAGACCAACGTGACTAATGCTGGGCAATAAATTATCGTGTATGTATCTTTTGCTGGATTATAAGTGGTGATGTATGTATCATACATCTGATGTATGTATCACGTGCAAACAGGCAGGTCAGACGGTCTCAAAAGTAAATTAAATATAGTTGATCTGTAACAGTGGCTACAATAAAGTCTCATTGGGTATGCGATCGTTGTTGTGGTTACCGTTAACAGACACCCATGTCTTACTTCTATCACTGCCCCGAACACTGGTCCTCAGACTGGCGTAGTCGGTGGGAAGAGTTGGAAACGAAGAGGCTAGCTTGGCACAGGGACGCATGAGGAGTTTCTTCAGCTCTTCTCGGAACATTTTCCCAGTGATTACATAGATAAAAATGTTAAAGGCATAGTGGGTAATGCCGTATTCTCTAATGACGGTAAGTACTAATGCGTAGATTTTGTTTCCTTCTGAGCATTCAGGCAGTGGCCCTTCGCAGCTGAACTCAAGGTAGACTGCATAAGCAATGGTAACGGGTAGTGTAGTTATAATTTGATAAAAGGAGACTGCAAGAAGCATGACTGTCGTCGATCCCGTTCTCTGTGAGGATCCGTGTAACTGAGTTTGCTCTACTCTAGATAACCGTCTCATTTCCCTGATGACCAAAATGTTGAGAACTAGAACAGCCACAGGGACGATAACAAACGCAAGCATATCAACGGTCGTGCTGTAGATGTTGTAGAGTGATCTCGATTCACCTTGCGTCACTTCTGGTCTTGTAGTGCAGCCCTTCGTATCAGTGAGGTACCAGAAGTAACCATTGATGGCTGTAAGAAAAGGCATAGAGATGCACAGGCATATAATGACAATCTTGGCTCTCCTTATAGTGCAGAAGGTCTCTCTCTTGAACGGGTGGCATATTGAGATATATCTTTCTGTGGTGAACGCCAGTACGAGAAACGGTGACAGAAACTGTGTAGCTAAGAATATAATGGTGTATGCCTCGCATACGAATGGGTAATCTAGGAGCGTCACATGCCAGGCCGTGTGCAGCTCGTACACCAGATGTAAGACTAGAAAAATGAGATCATCAAGTGCCAGAGCAGCAAGGTAATATCCCGAGGAATGTCGCATCCTCTTTTGCAGCCATATTGTGAATGAGATGATATTTCCGGGGAAACCCACCACATAGAGAACTGGCGTGATGGACCTGTCCAGACCATTTTTCATTGCAACCGACCAGTCGTCTGCTGCGGTGGCGTTACTGGCCTCTGTAAAGTTGGTAAGTTCCATCTGAAATTGATCAAAATTATGTTGAAATTATTTAGCAGGTGACAGTATTGTTTGCCCTAATATAACATACAACTAAAGAATTCAAAAATAAAATTCAAGGTGAACGCACTATTTAGTACACTCGGAGATGCCCATTAATATTTACGCAGAACACGTTTGTGCATGTGCACAAAACTAGATTATTAAGATTTATACCTTGACACACACACAACATTATACTTATAGGGACAGGGCTACATAGAGAACATATTCGAGCACAATGACTAATTCTTGCAAAACTGTGCTTTTATGGCTCCTCGGTAACTCAACTGAGAAAAACTACTAAGAATATTTCAGGGGAAAAAAGCAAAAGAAAGATGATGAAGAAGAAAAAGAAGAAGAAGAAGAAGAAGAAGAAGAAGAAGAAGAAGAAGAAGAAGAAGAAGAAGAAGAAGAAGAAGAAGAAGAAGAAGAAGAAGAAGAAGAAGAAGAAGAAGAAGAAGAAGAAGAAGAAGGAGGAGGAGGAGGTGGAGGAGACAAATGAGAGGGAGTGTTACTGTGAATAAAAAAAAATGGAAAACCACAGTCGTGATTTTACTTATATCCTCTCCATGTCGCTGTTGACGGGAAATTCACATGTGATCTCTATTCCTGCTGGCCTGCTGCCTTTCTGTCCAGTATCCCATATCATTTAACGTTCCTTCATGTCTCTTTCTATTGTTCTTCTCCATGTTTCCTTAGACCGCCTACGTCTCCATTTCTCGTCTGCCTTTCATCTGAGAGCTGTACTTGCCAAAGTGCAAACACGTCTAAGCCATCTTCATCTACTTCTTTTGATAGCGTTTGCCAGCTATGAACTATTTTTTTTTCTTTCCAGTTCGTCGTCTTGTTGGGTCGAAATATTTGCAGAATTTTCCTTAAACATCTATATTGAACATTCTCTAGCTTATTTGCAACTCCTGCTTTCATTTTCCACCACTCATTGTTTTACATCTTTGATTACCTTTTAAGCAAAATGAGTTACAGCTCATTATCCCACACTCAGCAATGGTCTCTAATATTAAAGTAACCAAATAATTACTAGGCAGTGTAAAAAACCTTTACTTTAAAAATAAATTACATTCTTTATGAAAGGGTCTAAATATGTAATACAGTCTAGCGTAACACCTTTTCTAAATATGGTTCTTTTGGAAAGTGATCTAACTCGGCTATATCAAGCAGCATTTACTTTCTTTAAATTTTAATGTAGAATAATGCTTTGTTAGTAGACTGAAGTCGAACAGAAGACTTTGTTGTACAGTTAGAAAAAAAATATTACCAAGGATAACTCAGGAGACAGGCCAATCAATAGCAGAAGCAGCACGAAGGGATAGCACAATAAGGAACACATCACATAATCAGATCCAGGCCTGCAGAATAAAACGAACACGACCTGGTCGGCCAGAAAGAGACAGAAGTTATGAAACAACTAGCATCAAACACCACGCAGTGAGATACCAAGACAATCTGTATGATAATTATAACCGATATTGACTAGAACGATGCTGGCTGCCTAGTCAGAGGCTGAAAGTGGCTAATTAAAATCGAAAGAACATAAGAGCGGACTGTAATAATAACCATGTCTAGAACTATATTTTATGCTCTGTGTGTATATTCAGGGCCGTCTCAACGCATGGGCACATGCCCCGGGGTACAATTATTCTAGGGTCCTATGCTATTCTGTGTATGTCATGTAACTTGCCATAAATAACAAATTAATTCACAATGATTTGCCCAGGGACTAATAATGCTATTAAAATGGCTCTGGGTATGTCATCAAATCTCTACATGTTCACAGATCAACAGTTCTCGAAGGGTAATTCAATACTCATCAACTGTACTATATTTTATGTTGGGTAGCCCATATTAAATTAAAAAAAAAAAAAAATAGAAATGCTGGTTGGCTGTTTTATCCTCCAGAATGATGCTTATTTACCTCCCCAGATCATCACCACAGTCCCTCAACACCGCACGCAGCTGGTTCACCAGTAGCTGATTAGCTGAGTCGAGTTGAGTCCAGAATTAACATCACAGCACTCGGGACATTCCCATGAACGCTCTGTCCTCATCTTTAGCAGCCAGCGCAGAGTTTCAATACTAATTGTACTGGTCTCAACCTGGTTATACATCCGTATTGCCCTACCCCTGTGTGTAGTGAGCCGGCCAAACCCTCTATTTACACCAAGATGCCTCATTCTCTCTAGGCCATAATAATCTTGTTTCTCTACTGATTCCGCGGCTTGTTCCGAAAGTGCCTTGACCACATCAGCCTTGTTATGTATCAATTCACCACCCAAGGGTGCAGTTCCAGCCAATCTGTCTGCCTGGTCATTCTCCAAAACGCTGGCATAGCCTGGAGAAAAGATCCAAGGTATGCTCACTACCCGTGACCTTCCCAATGAAGATTGCCACTCTGCACTTAGCATCCATGTCTTCACCTTTCCTCAGCATGCTTTTAGAGTCTGTTACAACTACGACATGTGTATGTATCTTGTTCTCCAGCCACTGGAGAGCTGCAGTTACCACCTCCACCTCCATTCTCATTTTAGATGTTGTGGTGTCGTATGATAGACTGTCTTGCACTAAAGATTTTTCGTTGGCTTTCGCTACGCACCCCTGGGAACTTCTCTTTCATCCATCTGTATAGATAATCAGATCACCTGGGCGTAAATTATCGTGAATCAATTGTTGAACTTCTACCTCCTTAGCACCCGCAGGCCACACTCTGCACTCCCGGCCCAATGTGATAATAACCCTACACAGGTCAGATTTTTCCTCTGGTACTCTGACCCACTCCTCTCCTCGTCGAATGTTCTCCAGCATGCATACATGTCTTATTGCGTCTTTTGCTTGAGCCATTCATGATTTTCCCCTTTTCAGCCTCTGACCCTTGCCTGCAGCCAAAGCTTCATACAGGCGGTGTTCTTTATCTACGGCTACTCTGAGGATGACCTAGTCTGCAGTATCTCTAGCCTATATGCAATAGTCGGCAATGCAAGAATATTTCGCATGCACACAATCGGGGTGTCTCTTGTACATCAAAGGATCACCCGCATTTCTTCACGCTGTATGCGCTCCAGTTTCTCTAGCTGATTCTTTGATACAGTGAGTAACCCCAATCACTGAGATGATTAAGTGCTGGTAGACTGTCTCTCCCCCATGTCCATCGCTGCCATAATCTTTAGTGCATTGGGACCTTACATGAGACTATTTCACAACCACTTCTATGTGATCCTTAAAAGACAAACTTGTGTCAAATTTGATTTCCAAGTACCGTAGTTTGCTGTCTCTTTTGATGTCCCTGCCATTTTTTTTGTTGAGCGTGGGAATATCAGCTCTAACAGTCCTGTTGTCCAAAGAACACCACAGGACGGTTGCCTTTTCTGGGTTGATTACAGCACTGATCGCTGCACACCAGTCGATCATTTTATCTACCGTCAGCTATTTGATTTCGATCTCTATCCTTCCTATACACAAGAACATCATCTGCAAATGTCAATATTCTGCCAACTACAAGTGTTTCCAGGTATGCAATTTTGCTCGTAAAAAACATTAAACAGTACAGGTGAAATTGCAGTTCCCTGTGGTAGTCCTGGAGATATTATACATGATTCAGAGGTCCATGGACCCAGGCGAAGAGCTACCCGGCGAGTATACAAAACGGCTGCTATCTAATTTATCAGCCAAGTACAGCCTCCTCTCTCCATAAGCGCTTTCATCAAGTGACTGTATCTGACTCTGTTGTAAACCTCAGTGTGTACATCCCCACAGTTGAGGCCAGGAACCTAAATGGAATATATTTGAACAATCTGGGTCTGTGTTAAAGATTTTAAGCACCTGTCTGCTGTTTTTTCTGAATGACGGGCTTAAAGCCTTAAAATCCCATTAAATGAAAAAATTTAAAGACCATATTGAAGTGAGTGCAGCATAAAGAATACGGCGCTAGGTCAATATCTTGAAAGACAAATCTGCACTCGAAATATGGTACGGCCAACATCCCGCTTCCTTTTCTTCCATGTACATTTCTTGTTACTTATTTTAGAATCTGGGAACCAGTGTCAGTTATTTAATAATGATGATAATAATAAATAGAAAAACCACAAGCCCTGATGACGGTTTGATTCAACGAGTCTTTGAGACGGTCTTCAAACGTTCCAAAACTGCATTGCTATTTAGTATTTGGACATTGCTTTCCCTAAAGGAACAACGCCTTTCTAGGCTTTCATCAACAAGAAAAGACATGTTATCCGGGCAAGCAAATCGAGCTGGGCTGTATGTCTTTGATGTCATCTTGCATGAAAGCGAATCCACGGTATTTTTTTTTTTTTTTAAATGAAAGATTGGAAAGTTTGTATTATTAGTGGAGATTACGCTGGGCAGTTTTTCTCGTCTCTAGACAAATATGATGTTTTTTTAAAGATGCCTTCTCACTGCATACAGAAGGTATTGAAGGTGCTCAAACTTTTCTTCAGCTGACGATACGCAATGGGCAATTGTTTTAATTGGTACCTTTTTGACAAGGCTGCACCTGTCTTTCTTTCTGTCATTTTCTTTGAATTATTTGCATTGGTACGTTTAAATTAGTAAAATGATATTAACGAAAGCATTTTTTTTAGATCCAGCAGAACTCGACGAGTGGTGTGGTCAGTATTCCCCGGATATTTCTTGCTGCTGATTTAGGGTTGGGTCGACCTAGTAGCCAAAGCAATTTATAAAAATTCGCCTCGATGTAGATTCCAACCTGATACTTTTGGACTATGGATCAAAAGTCGAGCCACTGCTCTACAACGTCTTTCAGCAAAACTGTTGTACCAGGTCCTTTCTTTAAATTTATACTTTGCCTCAAAGGTCGTGTGCTTGAATCCGCATCAAGTCGGATCCCCCCCCCTCCCTTTCCTCCTCTCCCTCTCCTTGAAAAATAGTTTTGGCTCGACCCAGCCTAAAATATGCACTATGTAAAGACATGATAAGTAAAGGCAGAC